TCAAATGTGCAACAAACCAAAATATCATAAAATTAAAAAGCATCAAGGCGATCAAGAAATGATTAAACAAATACGAAGAAATAAGGCATTCAGACATAAGATTAATTGAAATATGAAGCAATTAGGCAATTATAAAATCAGGAAATCAACAAAGCAGGCAATCGATAAAAAGAATTGAGAAGTACAGGCAATCACACAATCAAGCAATCAAGTATATAATCTATCGATTAAACATTAAATTAATCAAGCAATCGGAATATGAAACAATGCTAAATGATCAAGCGGTCAGTTAAGCATGTAGTTAGGACATCAAGCAAACAAGTGATTAACCAAACAAACAACAAGGTTGTCAACAAATTAAGCAATCATTGAATTAATCAGGCAGTCAATGGACCAATGAGTCAATTCGCCAAATGGGAAATCTTATAATACAGAAGCAACCCAATCAAACAACAAAAAAACAGTGTAAGCAATCAATTCAATGTAGGCTGTAACGAATTCAAGAAGAGTTGCAATCACATAATCAGGATGGAGAAATTACATAATCAGGTAATCAAGCAATCATGGTATGTTGCGTACAAATCAAGGATTAATCAAACAACCAATTAATCAAATACGCGAACCACGTACCGAACAAAAAAGCAGTAAGGGAGATAGGCCATCAAAACAATGAGCAATCAGGTAAACAAGTAATCAAGCAATTGATTAATCAATAAATTAAGCAAATACTCAAACAATCACGATACCAAAATTGTGTTTATCAAAGCGAGGAAAGAGGCAATAAATGAAGCAATAAGCAATTAGGCAATTATTCAATCAGCAAATCGTGATGCAATCAAACAACCGGAAACACTCAACTAATCATGCAATGGTGCAGACAGGCAATCATTCAATGAATCAGTTAGGCAGTCATGCAATTAACCAATCAGCAAGTCAGGAATGCGAGGGATGGAGACAAACAAAGCAGACAAGCGATCAAGGTTCAAGCTCGGCTCATGTCCGACTGGGTGGTGGGTGTGCTGGGCACGAGATGGCCGAACGAGGCGGGCGAGGGATCGCAGATCGAGTGGAGGTTGTAAGAGCGGCCAAGCTGTCGGGCCGAACGAGGAGCGAGAGGAGCGAGAGGAGCGAGAGGAGCGAGGAGAGAGAGAGGCTGTCGTGTGAGTCAGCGGGTCGGCGAGAGGGCCCGAAAGGGACGCGGCCGGGCAAAGGTGAGGCCCTCAGCTCAGGTGTGGGCCGAGAGGGGCGAGACAGACCGAGCCGAGGGTGGCCTCGAGGAGAGGAGGAAAGGGAAAGGCCGGTCGGTTGGGGTCGGGTTGGGGTCGGGTCGGGTCGTGTTGAGTGGGTTGGGCGTGCGTCCGGTCTGTGAACGCAAACGCGTCCCGCCGCGTTGGACCGACGCCGGGGCTTAGGCACCCGGACCGGGCCGGTTCGACAGACGGGCCGTGGAGAGGGAGACAAGACGAGACAAGACGAGAGACGGGAGATACACACGGACAAAGACGCGGACAGACCGGCCAAGTCGGATGACTCACAAAGCCCGTCCAGTCATAAGAGGCGTGTGGAGCCGCACTCGGAGGAGCAAAGAGGCTGACGAGAACTGAGGTCAGATTGGGCCGGCCCGCGGATGGACAGACGCGACGACCGGACAAAGCCAAATGTGCACACGGCCCAC